AAATTTATTGTATAAAAACATTTTTAGTAATAATTTATTAATATTTTACAATACTTTACAATTCATTCCGTAAAAATTAAATGCATTATACAAAAATGTTGAATTTATTAACAATTTGTTTTTTTTTAAATAAACAATCAAAAATTAATACATTTTAACAAATAGATGTAAGTGAAATTTATAAAAATTAAATTAAATAAAATAAATAAAAATTCAGATTTTTTAAAATTTTTATTTTTTATAATCAGAATTAATTTTTGACTAATCATAATTTAATTTACATGCAATTACAAAATATATGTATATATGATTATTAAATATATTCATAAAATAAAAATATATATATATATATATATATATATATAATGTATAACGTGCAATATTATTATGCCCGGGTACATAATTGTACGTAATTGTAATATAGTCACTATTCCTTTTACAGAGGCTGTGAAACACCGATACAAAAAGATCGACGATCGTGCGATCGAAACAACAATAATTGATTGGTTCCGGCGAGCGACAGATCGCCTAAAAAAACAGGAGAAGAATGTGTAATGCGTTTCATAATAAAAAATTTAAATTCTATTTAAATATTGTGTTTCAATTAAAATAAAAAAGTATTTTATAGTTTAATTGCATTGGTGTCCGTTATTTATACTTGTATGCATTTAAGTACAAGTATATACCCATACTTAAACAACATATTTTCGTAGTATGGCATTAGTGCATCGTTGTAACGTAACCTAATGGATTTCTTACGGACGTTTTTTTTTGAAAAATGATTTATGTCAGTAAAAATAGTATAAAATGTAAACTAAATATGTCGTCGTTTTAATTTTGTTTTTGTCATTATTATAAAATATTTGTTTACTTTTAATTACACTATTTTTACTGACATGAAAATATATTTTACTAAATAAAATACAACAATAACGTACTAAGGACGTATAGAAGACGTAGTAACGTCACGATAATGACGTACTAACGACGTACCAACGACATACGACGGCGTTCTAAAGATGTACAAAGGATGTACTAAGGACGTACAGAGGACGTCTAAGGGCGGTACATTGTACGTACAAATGACATCTACTGAACGTTCTCGGAACATGTCTGGTACGTCATCTGGACGTCCGTACATGTCGAGTGGGACGTCCTATAGACATCCATCGAACGTTGAATTGTTGTATGGGTATGTCGTCTCGTACATTATATTGCAGCCTTGCGACGAAATTTCAGTCGAGGAACAATCGCAAGCGTCGTTTGTTTACAAACTATCCGATGACGCGTACACAGCATAAACATATATAACTAGATCCAGCATGCCGTATATTTCCTTATGATATTCGTTGGGTTTGGCAGAACGGAGAGAGAGGCAAAACATAGGGGATATTTCTGTCCTTTTTTTGCGCGCGCATCATGACAGTAATGGCCGACAATTGTCAACTGGTCATAACGTGAAAGTCGGATATCATAAGTTACGTGTTATGTGTACGAACATTATACCCTATTATTATACCATATATATAAATATGTTAAAAAATGAAGACGTGCAGTGCGGATGTTTGAAGAAGCCTAACAAGAAAGAAAATATATCTTTCCACATGTAAGTAAAACATTCTGATCTATTTCACAATCTGTCACATGGCTGTCACGCTCGCTGTCAATAGCGACTGTGCATCCTACCTGCGCAGACAAAGAAAGAAATCTTCCCCTACGTTTTGCCTCTTTGTCCGTTCTGCCAAAGGCATGCATGCTGGGTCTAGTTATATATGTCTATGGTACACAGACCACACGTCAGTGTAGTGAGTTACCACTACAAAAAATGCGTACATACGGACCTACGCGGCGTAAGTCTGTAGGCTACGCTGATAATGTTATTCTCAAT